CCCACAACACAGGATCGCCAATGTAGCCCCAGAGCCAGTATCTTCGGGTCAGACAGCGTCTTGAACAACGACTTCTCTTCCTTGGCTTCTTCATCACTCTTTTTATCTGGCCCCTCGTTCAGGGCATAGTTCTCCTTCTGTTATCAGGTCAGCACAATCCATGCCACAACCACAAAAACAGGCAGCTTACCCAAGTCATCTTCATTACCCCTCCCGCAACCATCAACACCCCCGCCGCCAACCAAAACGGCGCTTTATTCGTCCCCGTCCCCGCCACAAGCCACTCCCCCCCGATCCCGCTCGCTATCGCCACCATACTATTCAACGTGCTCATCACCCCAAACGTCTCGCCTAACCTCCCCTCCAACCCCCTGTTTTTAAAATCCGAAACCAAGAAACTTTCAAAGACGGTGAACAAGAGACTTGTCCCTAGCCCTCCTAGTACCCTCCCGAAAAAGAGGACTGGTAAAGAAGGGGAGATGGTTGTTAAGAGACAGGAAAGGGCGTAGATGAGGCAGAAGGCTAGGCAGGCTTTCTTGCGGCCGTGGGTGTCGGCTAGGGAGCCGATGAAGGAGCCCGAGATGGCGCCCGAGAGGAAGCCGGTTGTGAAGAGGGGGGGGAGGGAGGAGGGGGAGAGGAGGTGGGTTGAGGTGTAGAGGGGGTAGAGGTAGGGTCCTTGGAGCCAGTCGGAGGTCATGGTGAGGGTGTAGACTGTTAGGAAGGGGGTTAGAGGGGAGGTGAGGAGGGATTGGAGGGGCGAGGCATTTTGGGGTTTGGGGTTGGGTTTGGGGGAGGGTTTTAATGTTGGTGGGGTGGGGTGGGCTTTTTGGCGGGTGTAGAAGAGGGCGGCGTTGAGGGCGAGGAGGGCGGTTAGGTTGAGGGTGTAGATGGAGGACATTTTGGGGGGGTTGGCATTGCTGAGACTGAGGATGAGGGCTGAGTGTCATCAACTGGGATGATGAAAGATGAATATATGTGATGGTAGAGATGACCGAATGGTCAGACAAAACAAGTGGCCTTTTCGAAAATTGTAGACGTGGCGGTGGTGGTGGTGGTGGTCAATTACCCGGCTTGGATATTGAAGGCACGGCAAAGACGTGAGAGGCTGTGACGTTGCGTGTTTGGAGTTTCTGGTTGGTCAACGGCACGGATCTCTTGGAAAGAAAATATGAACGGGAAATAAAATTGATGGTGATATATATGTACAAGAAGCGAACAAAACCGCCCGCGGTTCCTGTGATGTCTCTCGATCTCCCTTGGATGGTGCGGTTGATACTCGTCAGGGTTGTCAGTGTTGGTGAAGGTTCAGGGTTGGTGGATAAATGACCACAAAAGCTGAGTACCCTAACCCTAGATTCCCAACCAAAGGCGGTGAGCTCGGCCCAGGTCTTTCCCCACTTTCTGCCGTGGCTGCCCGCCGTCAGTTCCAGGAACAAGCGCCAAAGCTGGGGTTCTGGGCATCCCCGTTCCCGTCGTCGCCTGTCGCCATCATTTTCGCGACAGCATTTGAGCTTCGCCAGCCACGCTCGTCACCACACCCAGAGCCCTTTTCTTGAAAAAAAACAAAAGAAATTGAAACCGCGCGACAATATCTCAATTACTACCAACATCTTCTCCCCACACTGCTTGCGCCCAGGTCCCAGGGAGCTTCGGCCAACAGAAACCGGAAATCCGCAAAGGAGGGCGGCCCAGGCCAGAAACCGCCATAATGTCAAACCAGCAGCAAGCTTTGGTCATGGAGACCATAATAGGCATCCGGAAAAAGCTTAAGAGGAAATCCTACGGTACGCCCCTCCCCCCCCCCCAAAAAAATAAAATTAGTTAGAATGAATTGTGAGATTTGTGTTTCCCAACACAAC